AATCACTCTTTGGGTGAAGAAGTACTTCCTTTTATCCGTTCTAACCCGACCGCTCAGCAATTTCATGGAGTGCCCACAAGGAGTTCTTGTATTGTGAGAAAGGGAGAAAAGTACCTCTTTCTCTACCTGCTCTTTCCCACGCATAATCTTATAAACCTCGATCATGTCGCCCCTCAGCCATCGTTTCTCCAAGCTAAAGAGCCCCAAGGTTCAGCTGTGCCGGTGGGGAGCGGACCGTTCCTACCGGCTTGGCTTGGGGCTGGCTTCTCACGCAGCCCGGTTTAAGCCCGGCTGCCGAAGAAGCCAGCCCCGAGGTCTGCCGTGCTGCCAGGAACAGGTTGCTCCCTGCAGGCGGGGCTTTGCACTGGCTTCTCCTGCCCCCCGGTTTAAACTGGGCTGCCGGAAAAGCGAGCCCAGCCAGGATCGGCTATGTCTGCAGGGAGCACAGCTTTGCACTGGCTTTTTTTTTAACCAGTGTTTTTCTTCTTGGGTCTATTGAGATCCTGGAGTTGTTTTCTTTTTTTGTCATCTGGGCACGGGGCAGGGTGTGTGTGGGGGGGAGGTGTTTGTGAATTTCCTGCCTTGTGCAGGGGGCTGGACTAGATGGCCCTGGAGGTCCCTTCCAACTCTATGATTCTATTGGACCAATGTTCCCTCTAAGCTGAGGCAGTGTGAGTGAGCTCACAGTTGTTTAGCCTCCAGCTCACAGGTCTTTTTTTGTCCTGGCTCAGGAAGGGTGGCTCCAGAACAGTGTTCCCTCTAAGCTGAGGCAGTGTGAGTGAGCTCACAGTTGTTTAGCCTCCAGCTCACAGGTCTTTTTTTGTCCTGGCTCAGGAAGGGTGGCTCCAGAGCAAACTAATGTAGGCAGTAGCCAAATTGGACGCTCACAACTTTAACGTCAGGAGCTTGCAAGGTAGAATTTTTGCTCACAAGACTCCACAGCTTAGAGGGAACATTGCTCCAGAGCAAGCTAATTTATGCCGCAGCCCAATCGCCCGCTCACTACTCTAATGCCAGCCGCTCACAAAGTAGAATTTTCGCTCACAAGACTCCACAGCTTAGAGGGAGCATTGTATTGGACCCCCAAAAAAATAATTCTGGATTTCCAGGGTGTTCTGAGATCCCGAAAGAACTATGGGATGGGGAGACTTGTTGGAACCAGGTCCAACAGCAGCAGACAGCTGCAGGGCCTCGCTGCCGGTCACCTCCGAACCCACGCGTTCCGCTTCTTTCCCCTTTCCCAGGTCAAGGTGGTGTACCTGCAGCCCGAAGTGGCTCAGATAGACCTGTACATCCTCGGCCAGTCCGACCATTTCATCGGCAACTGTGTCTCTTCCTTCACCGCCTTTGTGAAACGGGAGCGCGACGTCCACGGGAGACCGTCCTCCTTTTTCGGCATGGACCGCCCCCCCGAGCTGCGAGACGAGCTGTAGGTGGCCCGCGGAGGACCAGTCGCCTCTTCCCTTCAGTCCTCCCGTGACGCACGATCGGGATCGACACTGGGCTCTGTGGAAAGCAAAGTCCTCGCACATCCGGACAAGCCGAGTGGTGAATCGCTGCTCGATGCTGGAGGCTGAAACCAGGAGGAAGGGTCTTCTCGCCGTTGGAGAGAAATCGTCATCACCCAGTCCACTCAACTTGCTGCTTGAGTCTCCTTCCTTTTTTCGCTGCTGCTTCAATCCTCCAGGACTGGTTTCCCTGGTTGGTGTTTTCTCAATACACAGTATTCCCACCAGACAGCCTGGTCGGTGACAAGGCCTGTTCTGGAGATCAGATTCATTCCAAATCCGAACGTACCTCCTGTGTTTCAGCTGGCTGATCTGGGGAAAATGGATTGTGACCTCAGTATCCTTCACTGACTGTAAGAAGCCTTAAGGGTATGAAATCATTCAGTCTTCGCAGGTGCGACCAGCAGAAAAGAAGTATTAGTCCGAATAACACATGGACCTGCTGGATCCACAGTGGTGTCTGCCACGCCCAGGTTGCAGAAATTGCAGAAGTTTGAATGAGTTTGGGGGGGGGGGGGGTTTACTAGTTTTTGACATTTCATATTTTGAGAGAGTTTTTTAAAGCAGGTTTTGTTGTCTTTTGCGTTAGTTGCAGTCCAAACACTGTATGCAATAAAAGAAAAATGGAGCTTAAAATTGCAGCAAAAAATCTGGACACACACGACCCAATCAGTTAAACAAGTATAAAGCCAACAGTCGTGATAGTCTGACCCACAATCAAACAGTCATAAGACCTATAAAGAATGCTGTTTATGTATTTCAATCTAAAGCACTACAACATAATACACAACTCAAAAGAAAATCCTTGAACCAAGGTACATAATCAACGTCGTCTCCGGATGACTTAACAACGTTTCAAAAAATGGATCTTCTTCAGGAGATATTATAATGGTGCCAAAGCTCTCAGTTTCATAAATGTTAGACAGCAAGTCTTAAGAATATAAAATTCAGATAGGACGCTGATCTCAATTAACATTCAGGCTCAAAATATGCTGCTATGTTTCTTCTGGATCACGGGCGTCTCTGAGACGTTGTTAAGTAATGTTGTAGTGCTTTAGATTGAAATACATAAACAGCATTCTTTATAGGTCTTATGACTGTTTGATTGTGCGTCAGACTATCACGACTGTTGGCTTTATACTTGTTTATACTTGTTTAGCTTAAAATTGCAGCCCAGAAACATTAGAAAAGAGCAAGAGTCCAGTAGCACCTTAAAGGCTAACCAGATTTGTGACAGGGGAGGAGCTTTGACTCGCGAAAGCTCCTACCGTGCCACAAATTTTGTTAGTCTGTCTGTCTAGCAGTAGAAAAGAGCAAGAGTCCAGTAGGAGGTACCTTAAAGACTTAACAAAGTTTGTGGCAGGGTAGGAACTTTCATGAATCACGGCCCACTTCTTCATTATATTGGCTATCCCACACATTCCAAACTGTACACATGCGCAATGCTCCCTCTAAGCTGTGCGGAGTCTTGTGAGCAAAAATTCTATGTTGTGAGCGACTGGCATTAAAGTTGTGAGCGAGCAATTTGGCTGCTGCATAAATCAGTTTGCCCTGGAGCTCTCCTTCCTGAGCCAAGACAAAAATGCGTGAGCCAGAGGCTAAAAAACTGAGCTAGCTCACACTCACTCAGTTTAGAGGGAACACTGCATGTGCATTAAAAAGGGCTCATTTGCTCTCCTTTTCAGAGGCCGTTTTGGAGTCTTTGGAACAAAGAGCCAAGAGGGAGCAGGAGGGTCTTGGTAGAAACGCTTCCCCCTTTCCCTGAAATCTTGATACGGCTTTCTCTGTATGTCTGAACTAGGCCTCCTCGGTTTTTAAAAACTGCTTCCTGGGTTACTGTGACAGACTCGCCGATTGTCAGGTGATCTGTTCCTTGTACTCCCCCCCCCCCCAATCAGATACGATCGGTAATAACTTGCACAGCAGCAGACATTCTGAACACTGCCAGGTTGGTGCAGAAGAAGAGACTGGATTTATACCCCTGCTCTTCACTACCCAAGGGAGTCTCAGAGCGGCTTCCAATCTCCTTTCCCTTCCCCTCCCCACAACAGACACCCTGTGAGGTAGGCAGGGCTGAGAGAGCTCTCTCGAGAACTGCCCTTGAGAGAATACCTCTGAGAGAACTTGTGAGGGACCCAAGGTCACACCTGCAGCTGCATGTGGAGGAATGGGGAATCAAACCCGGTGTAGTGGTTCAGGTATCAGATTAGGATCTAGGAAACCCGGGTTCGAATCCCCACTCGGCCATGGAAGCTCGCTGGGTGACCTTGGGCCAGTTACATGCTCTCAGCCTGACCTACTTCACAGGGTTGTTGCGGGGAATCAAACAGAGGAGAGGAGAGCGATGTAAGCTTCTTTGGGTCCCCATTAGGGAGAAAGGCAGGTTGTAAATAAATAGAATATCCTGGCCGCTGAATGCACGCCCTAAGCATTCCTCCTCGTTTAAAAGCCTCTGTGGAAAAGGCTGCATATGAATAACTGCTGTGGAGATGGATGCTTTTTAAAGTCCGTGTGCATTACTGGACTTGGAAGAAAGCTAGCGTGGCTGAGTGAATAGAGCATTGGACCGGGACTGAGGCGACCTGGGTTCGAATCCTACTCAGCCATGGAACCTCACTAGGTGACCTTGGGGCAGTCGTTTTCACTCCTCCCAACCTACCTCAAAGGGTTATTGTGCGGCTAAAATGGAGGGAGGGAAGCGCCATGCACACCCCACTCTCCATTCTCTAATGGTGAGATAAAAAATATTAGGATCGTTCAGGCTGTCACTAATTTTTCTTGGGCTCTGGGAGCCAGCCCCAAAATCTAGGTGCTAGACTCGTTTTTCAGCCTTCAGCCAGTTTGGTGTCGTGGTGAAGTGCACGGACTCTAATCTGGGAGAACTGGGTTTGCTTCCCCACTCCTCCTCCACTTGCACCTGACTGGATGACCTTGGGCAAGCCATAGTTCTGATAACAGCTGTCCTTGAAAAAGAGCCGTTTCTGTCAAGAGCTCTTTCAGCCCCGCCTACCTCACAGGGTGTCTGTTGTGGGGAGGGGAAGGGAAAGGAGTTTGTCAGCCGCTCTGAGACTCCCTTGGGTAGTGAAGGGCAGGATATAAATCCATTCTCCTCCTCCCTCTTCCTCCTCCTCCTCCTCTTCTTCATTTTGTTACCATAATTACAGTATTTTTTAATTACTAGTACCACCGGACGGCGCTTTCACATACGCTAAATGATGCACTTCTAATCCACTTCCAGTGCACTTTCCAACTGGATTTTACTGTGTGAAATGGCAAAATCCACTTGCTAAACACTCGCCGAAGTGGATTGGAACTGCGTTATTTTGCAGGTGTGAAAGCTCACAAGAGGGCTGAGCCCAGGTAGCTCTCCATCCAAGCTTGCCCGTTCAGCGCCATTGAACTAGCAGGAGAAATGGCGACGGCAATCTCTGTGTCTCTTGGGCCTGGGTTGTGCCGCTGCAGTAGCTTTCGTCTTCAGTTCGTTGCAGACACGACACAGCTTAAATTCCACCCGCCCGCCCCCGCACTATCCACTTCTGTGGAATTTCTGTCTTCTGAACAGAACCAGAAATGGCGCGCTGAATGCTTCCCACTTGTGACGATTTTGGCAGTCTGGTTTTCTCAGTAAAAACTCGTGGCTGCAGACAGGAGCGGTGGTTCCCTGCCACTTTGGTGTGATGACACCCCACCCCACCCCGGTCGAAAGTTACTCGATATGGTGACCCACTTTAAAAAAGAGAGAGAGAAAGGAACATGCACACGTGTGAAGCTGCCTTCTACTGAATCGGACAATTGGTCCAATCCAGGTCAGTTATTGTCCACTCAGACTGCCAGCCGCTCTCCAGGATCGCAGGCGGAGGTCTTTCCCATCACCTCCTGCCTGGTCCTTTTAGTTGGAGATGCCGGGGACTGAACCTGGGACCTTCTGCATGCCAAGCAGACGCTCTGCCACTGAGCCACAGCCCCTTCCCATAGCTCTCCAGGGTCTCAGGCTGAGGTCTTTCCCATCACCTACTTCATGGTCCTTTTAGTTGGAGATGCCGGGGACTGAACCTGGGACCTTCTGCATGCCAAGCAGACGCTCTGCCACTGAGCCACAGCCCCTTCCCATAGCTCTCCAGGGTCTCAGGCTGAGGTCTTTCCCATCACCTACTTCATGGTCCTTTTAGTTGGAGATGCCGGGGACTGAACCTGGGACCTTCTGCATGCCAAGCAGACGCTCTGCCACTGAGCCACAGCCCCTTCCCATAGCTCTCCAGGGTCTCAGGCTGAGGTCTTTCCCATCACCTACTTCATGGTCCTTTTAGTTGGAGATGCCGGGGACTGAACCTGGGACCTTCTGCATGCCAAGCAGACGCTCTGCCACTGAGCCACAGCCCCTTCCCATAGCTCTCCAGGGTCTCAGGCAGAGGTCTTTCCCATCCCCTCCTGCCTGGTCCTTTTAGTTGCAGACGCCGGGGATTGAACCCGGGACCATCTGCATGCCAAGCAGGTGCTCTTCGACTGAGCCACGGCTCCTCCCTGAATCAGTACAGCTGCAGAAGCTTGGGACCCATTTTCACAGACTTCGTAGCTTATGGGTTGGGAAAGGCTGGGCGAAATGACTTCATGGTGCTGGTGGGGAAGCAACAGCCGGTAATATCCTCAGTGCCTGGCTACACGTTACACTTGTAAGGCAGGCTCTGACCTCTAAGGATTCTGGAGCTCCTTGAGCAACAGGCAGATAAGAACAGAGGGGTTGTAGGCAGATGCAGAAGGCCATCTGCTGTCCTTTCTCTCTGCTAATCTTCTCTTTCCTTTAACGGCTAGTTTACCCTATTTGACACACACACACACCAGTCTCTGGGGCCTTCTCTGCGGCTCTCCTGTTTGCTCTGCTTTGTAGAACTTGGGGCTGTTTAGCTTGGAGAAACGACGGCCGAGGGGGGACCTGATCGAGGTTTATAAGATGATGCATGGGATAGAGCAGGTCGAGAAAGAGGTCATTTTCTCCCTTTCCCACAAGACAAGAACTCCTTGTGGGCACTCCATGAAATTGCTGAGCGGTCGGGTTAGAATGGATAGAAGGAAGTCCTTCTTCACCCAAAGAGTAATTAACACATTGAATTCAGTGCCACAGCTGGGGGTGGCGGCTACAAGCACAGACGGCTTCAAGAGGGAATTGGATAAAC